AGCTAGTTATCATTAGCTGTATGTCCAAGTTCAAGCCTATAGCCTAGCCCTGCTTCAGGATATTAGCTTGACTGTGTGTCAGTAACGTCCTCTCAGGGATGATGTAAGATGCTGTTGAGCTCCAATCTCCAGTCTTAGCGCAGCATTCGCTTTAGCCCACTGCTCAAATTAGCCGGAGCTCGGTCTGTTTCACTCACTATCTTCATTCATACTGGTGTACTGATGTATTTTAATAGAATATTCCAACAATCTGGTCCAAAATATGCTTCTAATGTTGCTGCTTTGACCACACAAATGTTTTTTTGTTTTTTTTACTGTAGTGAGTAATGTGAGTGTATTAAAGCCACTGAAGTACAGACAGAGACAGATTCTCAAACGGTCACACTTATTACTCCAGGCGGGAGCTAAGACTACCCATACATCTACACAGCTAATGACTGAGATTACTTTTACCAACCTCTCAACGTGAATGTCCGGGTCCTGAAGTAATGAAAGTAGCTCGAGGCCTATGAATTGTGAGGTCTGGCGTTATGGTCCCGACTGGTCCCAGTTTAATAATCTGTTAAAGTATTTTTGGTGCGTATTAGTTTCACAGACTCTTTATCATTGCTTCAAAATCTTTTGGAAAAAGTCCAAGTTGTCTCAAGTTCTCATTTTTGACTTAAAACAGACTCGAGTTGAGTCTCATGTCTGCAGCTCTGCCTTTTATTAAGAACACGTTCCTCTCAAAAGAACACAAATCATAGTTGGGAGGCACGGACCAATATTACTGAAGGAAAAGGGTATTATGTTTTGCAAAGATCAGTGTTGTGCCAATTATGATTTAAATGAAAGCATGCAGCCATGCATATGACAACAAAGGATGTATTTCTGAAAAATATCCAGTGGGCTTTCTCTCCAAAGTCTAGATTTACAGCGATTTACAGAGTTTTCTTTCCCACATACTCCCAGATGCCTTCATGTGAAAATATGCTGATCTGCATGATAGAGGAGTCGCTGTTTGTGTAAGTGCAGGGCGATGCGACTATAGGTGTCTGAGCATTCGAATGAAGAGTAAAGAAGGACTCTTGAGAGGAGACAGAGAGGTTTATGAGTCTTTAGAGAGGACTGAAAGTGAGGGCCAGGCTTAGTGGCTGGATATTAGATTGGTGTCATGAGTGAGCACATCAGGGCACAGATAGCTTCATCCTTTATCTAAGCTCTCTCTTCACTATGACAAGCACTTCTTTCTATCCGTTCTGTTAATCTACACCTCCTTCCCCCGGCTCTCCTTTGCTCCTGGGCAGCCCTCATTTACCTTTCCACTCACATAATCTAGGTCAGGTCTTTCTTAATTTCACTGCCTTAAAGGATCATACTGCTGCTTTAGTATATTTACGATATAACTTACAATTCTGCCGATTCTAAAGCATCAATACAAGTTCATCTAAATATCACAACTTTGAAAACGTTTATAATACACATACAGTAGATTAAGGACCTACGATACAGTATTACAACCTTTACTACAAATTATAACTTGTATTTCTTTATTTTATCCAGCTTTGTATTATTTTAAAGTCCTAACCAATTCTCATATTTAAATAAATCCGTCCTGACAGCAACATATCACCTTATGAAAGAGCTCCGTAACACTGCGGTTTTACCTCGGACACCCCCGCTTTGTATATATTCAAAAAATGCGTTGACATCCAGAGTGCTGTGCGGAGGTTAGGATGAATGGCACAGGACTTCACACTCCTTTATATGTTTTCGTGGGGTCAGGTCACTGCGAACATGACGTTGCCTTGTATTTCAGGGGGCATCGACCTTCACAATGCCCCTCTATTAAGGAGGAGGCTCTCAAAGATGCCCCCTCTTACATATTTTCAGAAAGAGGCCGAATGTTTAATTTCCATGAATATGTGCTCTCACTGAATAAGTCTGATACAGAATAGTACTTTTTAATTTGTTTATTCAGTTTTTCCCGCACCTTTTTTTTTTTACCTGCATGTTAATGACTGAACCAAGCAAGCACCAGATTTACAATTGCCATCTGACATTAGGGAAATTAGGTTTTAATGGCTGTGATTTTGAAGAGTCTTTTTCTCAGTGTAATTTGTCTTGTATTATTTTCTCTTTTGAATATTATTGTTGGTCTCTTTACAGTTTTTTTTTTTGTTTGTTTGTTTGTTTGTTTAGTTCGTTTTTGTGAAAAAAAAGTACTTAAGTATGATCTGAAAATTATAGAGAAATTTCAAATTTATTTGTGCCTACAGTGTTATAAGTAGAACCATCATGCTTTAGAACATTGGCAAGAATATTTTATGGCTCCCTGGCATTTATTTTATATAGTCTGTTAAGATGAAATATCTAAGACAATGAACAGCGTATATGACTTCAGTTTCTTGATACTTGAACCTGTTCGTGTTGCTTCGGATTCGCTCAGTAATTAAACCTGACGACGTCTCTCGTTTTTACACCTTCATTTTATTTCTTACGATATGTTCTCAGCAGAGACACGAAGTCACACTTTTGCTTGACAAATGAGACTCAACAGCCACTTCATCATGGAGACACAGCACAAGTGGCCATTTAGAGACATACCCTGAGAAAATGGCTTTGGGAATAGCTATCTTTCCCACACCGCCTGAACTCTTTTTTTTTTTTTTGTTGTCTTTAGTGTTGCAGATATGATCAGTTGATTTTTGGCCAGTTGTCTCAGTGTTAGGAGGCATGGCCGGGGTTTGCATTGTATCTGTGATCTTACCAGATGAGGGAAGGAAATGGATATGTTGTTTTCTTTGTATCTACCTCCAGCCTGGAGAAGCAAACATACCGTGCATAGTGGTTCTCCTCACCTCTAGAGGCTGCATGCTAGCCTGGAACAAAAGCTCGGGCTCTCATGCAGTGTTTTACTGCAAATCAATATTTGTATGACTTCTTGACTTAGCCATATGGGAGATATTATTCCCGCCTTGAATAATGTAATGAAATCAATACTTGAGCCTGTTGTTGACCAGGAAAATTACAGCATTTGTTGCCCGTTCAAACGCTTAATTTATTTTCATATTTTCCTGACAAACGACCTGTCGTAGTTGTGTCTTCTCTCTCTGGCCCGTTCGGCACAAAGATCCCGGTGTGTTGCCGTTCAGAAGACCCTCCATTAGGCCGGCTTTGCTTGTTTACACAAAGCCAAACATAGCAGGCTACGGCTGCTGGAGGCTCACTGCTGGAACAACAGTGCCCCTCTTCCATTGCTTGTTTGTTGCTCTAAACACAAAAGCGAATTGTGTACATTTTTGCAGATCTAAATGCTCGACCCAGTATGTTGGCTCGGGTTCAACCTCACAACATAATGATGATGGCTTTTCACATAAAGGAGTGTGCAGAGATAAAGAGGGAAACGAAGGCCACTGCTGTGACTGCGGCTGTCTCCTCTTACTCACCAACATGTTTCTATAACTATGAGATTGTTGCATTATGAAGAACCAATAGCTCATATTGTGCTGTGACAATAATTGGCTACCTGTCTTGGCAAACCCTCACAAAGTCCTTGCAAATCATTCCCATGAATTTCCTGGTGAGAATTGGGCAGAGACTGACTCACTCATTTGTGTGAAGTGGCGACATGCTGAAGGCTCAGTGGGATTTCTCTGTCAAGCTCCGGATCACGATTCAGTGGCGTTTCTGCTTCGCAGTCTGTGCTTCACTCCCATTCCACACATCACTGAAGACAGAAGTCTTACATTAAAGCATTTCACTTTCAAAAAAAAAAAAAATCATCACATCTCTCCTCAGTCTGGTGCACACGTGCAAGAGATGATTCCCTGATTAGGCTTTGAAAATTATTTCACATTTTGACACTTTGGATTTGAATACGCACGAGTTTTGAGCATGCAGGAAGGAACAAACACCAGGTGTTTCTCTGGACTCCTTAAATATCATATTCGTGACTGTGGCTTTAGCTGATGCTGAGAAATTAAGTGCAATGGAGTTTAAGGAAAAGGATATGCTTTGATTTCTGGCATTATGCCTCCTAAATCTTCTGCCAGGAGAAGCAGGGATGGGGAAAACGAATATGAGAGCGCCCTGCAACGACTCAGTCAGGTGGCTTTTATAAACACTGAGTGGAAAAATAAATCTTTAGATAGTGTTACTGAATATACTTAATATTCCTGCAGAGGACTGAAGATCAGCTTACCACAAACTAATTAAACATGCAAAACATCCAAAATACCTCATTCTTTTTTTTATTATTGTTGATAGTCAGATAATTTGCCGCACAGTCTCCATCTGTCTGCACTGTGCCTTCATGTTATTCAGTCAGCTTATTGCTGTCATGTGGTGCCTGCTTAATGCTTTGACTTTGGAAAGTGTCAGACATTTGATTGTCACAGGGTCACAGGTGCATGATTCATTAGCAGCTTACACTTTGAAATGTGTGTGGCAAGAGGTATAGCGTCTTACGAGTGAATCACAAGGCCAAGGATGCTATTATCTCAGTTCTTTGTGATAATGCAAATCACTCAGTATCCAGCCCTACAGTATAACCTTGCTCAACAGTGTGGGGTTGGGCGGGAGGGTTTGTAAATAAAAAAGAAAAACCTGTGTTATTGCTGCGCCTAGGCGAACAAGATGGCCAACAATCGTAATTCAATACCATCGTCTTAATCGCCTCATTTTAACTCCTCTCTAATGTCAATGATCGCACCGTTAGCAAGGCTTTCTTTGTACCATATATCCCCAACAAGTAAGCCCGCGAACAACCTGTCAGTTCAACAGGGTCCTAGTAGAAAATGTGGAGTCATAACCCATCTGCACAGGGAGATGTTGCACTCTAGTGACCATAAAGATTTAATTCATAGAGGGTATGCATGAAAAATGGTTGCTCTTTTGAGCGGGCAAAGCAATTTGATTCTAAGCCCTGCCCTATTGTGCTTTGCCCCTGTGTCACCATTTGTCCCGATAGAACCAGAAAATAATGTGTATGTTTGTCCTTTCTGCTTTTCTTCATCCAGCCGCCATCCAGGTGGAAATCACTCCGACGCAAGGAGAGATCAGCGTAGGAGAGTCCAAGTTTTTCCTCTGCGAAGGTAAGGGCGCATCCTGGGTCACAGCTTGATGAATGTGTCGTCTCATGTACATACTGTAGAATGCAGCAGTATTAATTGAGGTTATTTGAAGACAGTGACACAAGTCAGTTTAAATAATGACACTGCTGTACACGTGAATGTACCCTCATTAGGAGTTAAGTGTTAAAGAAATTCGAGACAAGACAAGGCGGTGCTTTGAAAAAGGATATCAGTTTATTCTGAGATCACAGTCGGGTAGGGAAGAGGGCTTTTGAGAGGTGGGAGAGCGGTGGGAGAGCGGTGCCGTCTGAAGAGATAATGAGAGAGAGGTCTTGTACTTTCACTGTGTTTTCAGTGTACTGTACATGTGCAGCTATCAGCTTGTCTGAAATCCAGGTGGTATATGCATTAGGTAAGTCAGATGTCTGACATTATAGAGCAATCTGTACATGAATAAATCCATGTCAGTCAGAGGTTAGATATTATAAAACTGTGTCTGGAGAGCCTGTAAACTAATGGTTTGCTTGATCCAAATTGATGTTCAAAGCACCACTCGAAAATCTGTATCATTATCTCTTACCAGACCCAGTGTCCCCATTACTCCACAGAATATACTTAGAAGTTTTCTTTGGAATTTCTTCTTTCTACCTAAGAAATATATATGACAACTGTTCACAGTGAGGTCTAGTTCTGCCCGACGCTGATCCGAGACAAAACAATCTCAAGTCGGCAAAGAATCTGCCGATGGACGCGGTTCATCTAGTTTGACCAGATCCCAAACGTGTCATGACCTCGTTGATTTTTCTCGTTGCTAAAAATAAGATGTGCTTTTAATCACAGCGCAGCGGAGATGAGTCATATCCAATGAGAGTGCAGCAGTAAACTGAGGGCGGGGAGTGGAGGAGGCAGCCGACACACAATCTCTGCACTAATGTGGACCCTGTTTCTGAAAAGAGATGTCTTTTTTTTTTCTTTTTTTTTTTCCAGATTACTTAATTAGTAATTAATTAATTAATTAATTAATTAGTTGAGGCAGAAATCTCGGAAGCGGATGACTCAAAACCTGGAGCACTAAAACCAAAATGATCCACATGGCTGCATGTGTCATTAAAAATATACCGTATGTTTTCGATAGTTTGGATGAACTCACCCTTTAAAAGGTCCTTGTACTAAAATAGTATCAAATTGGTTCGAACTATTGACCTGTTGCTACATTACAACTTGCAGAGAAACGTCTGTGAAGAGCTCAGTGTCGTTGTGCATGTGGAATATGAAGCCTTGACTTTAAATTTCTTTTTAGCTTTGTGGCTTTAGCTTGAACTCCCAATTCCCTCATTGAAAAGAATGTCAAAATGCATTTAGGACCCTTTGTGTTCCTAATGTTCTCAGCTTACACTTGTCCTTATAAAAAATGAATGATGTGGGAAAGTTGTTTGATTTTTCTTTTAGAGAAAACTGCCTCCTACTGAATAATCCTATGTCCAACTGAGCAAAGAGAAACTATTTACAATTACAAATCTTTTATGTTGTAATTAGCATATTTGGTCTGATGTTGAAAAGACAGCTACTGTAGGACGTTTGGGTTTTGATTTAACAATAATGTTTCCAAGATATTTACAACGAGAATTCTTGATTTACGAAGTGTACATATTCTCTTTTTAGACTTGTAGAAGTAATAATGACTTGACTGATCATGAGAGCACAGAGTCTTGCTCAAACTTGTTGAAGTAATTGTTCTGACATGATGTTTTCTTTGCCTCATTCTCTTCTCATTTCCTGCTCTGCAGTGGTGGGAGATGCTAAAGACATAGACTGGTATGCCCCCAGCGGCGAGAAGATCTTTCCCAACAGGCCAGACATTTTTGTGAGCCGCAGTGATGAAAGCACGTCGACCCTCACCATATACCACGCCAATGTGGACAGCGCTGGCATCTACAAGTGTGTGGCGAAGAACGCGGACAAGGAGGCTCAGGCCACGGTCCAAGTGAAGATCTTCCGTAAGTCTCAGAGTCCTGGAGTCTGTCTCTGGTCGAATAATGCCTTCAGAGTGTCTTTAAATGAAGCAAATCATTACCACAGCCAGACACAATCATATCATCAAAAATCATATCAAAATAATGTGCAGAGAAAGTATTCACATTACTAGACCATGCACTTCATAAACAATCTGCCTGTGAGATCCCCTGTAGGTTTTTAAATGAACGGTTTGCTTTCTGAAATTGCTGTTGACTCCTCGCAGCCATTTTGTCAGTTGTTTGAAGGCAGTACATTCAAATCGAAGCAAAGGTGGACACGGCTGGATGCAGCCGGGGTCAGGCTCAGAGTGCTAGCCCGAGCAACCTGCCAGTCAAAGCAAATCCACCTCACAGCATCCCACTTCGAGCCTTAACAGAGACAGCTTTCGAAAATTGCTAGCAAGACGCACATAAGAAGAAATGCAATTGGACATTGAGGTCCAAACTTCTGTCTTGAGGGAAGAAGTATTTCAGTTATTTATTTATTTATTTTTATTTTTTGTAGATTTAGGGGAACTTCATTTTTAGGTACAGTTCTTTCTAACCGGCCTCCTCATTTCCTGTGTTGGCTGCTGCTTGGTGTCAACACCAGCATTTTATTTTGAAATATGATAAATTACAGAGAACGATGTGTGATTGTACAGGAAAATACTTTGCATATCTGGCCATAAAGACAAACTCAAAATGTTTCATGATATCACATCCTGCCTGTTTTCAGAAAATAAATAAATAATTCTGTTGCAGCAGCAAATGCATTTTGAAGGAAATATAATGTCTCTTGGATTTGTTGCTGTTTTTTTTTTGTTTTTTTATCAGACAGTTGATAGTGGAGAAGGAGACAGGAAACAATCTGTTCCCTCTGTTTAGTTACTTAAACTCAGAAATAACAGTGCGTACAACACATGCCAGAAAAAGGAAAAACACAGAGGAGACTACAAGCGAGTAAAACTTAGCTAGTGGAGAACAGTTTAAGACAGTAAGTGTGTTTAAAACTGTCCATTGATTAAAAAAATAAAAAAAAGTAGAAGGGGTCAGTAAGGTCAAGCCCCAGACTAACTCAGGCATTAATGAGTCTGATGGTTGTGAGCACAAAGCTTGACATGGTTTGGTCCTGAATATGAGTCACTTGTATCTGCGGCCTGAAGGTTTATGTCTGTATTGGTTGTGTAGTGTGTGTAGGTGTGTGTTTGTGTGTGTGGTATCTGAAGCTATTTGTATTCCTTTCATAGTACAAAAACATAGCTCTTCCTGCAACACTGTCTCCTAGAAATTACATTTGTGTTCTACTACATGGTTTTACCATATAAATTCAAATGGAAACATAATTGCCACCTGGATTATGTCCACAGGCAACGTGTTTTTTTCCAGTCAGTATAATCCAGGAAGTAATTCATTTCCGTTTGAATCCATTTGAATGCAAAACCATTGAGGAGAATATAATGTCATTCCTTAGCTTAGCTTCCAATTTATCTTTAAAGACGTCGATCCCAGAATTATTCATATATAAACATATGTTTAAAAGGCCTTAAATGTATACAGCAGATGAGAACGTGAAGTCATGCCATCATGTCTTCCAAGACAATTAAGTCCTCTTTGGTTAAATCTCCAAACAATTAATTAACACGTCCTCTTCAGACCAAAAAACAGCTCTGTGTTAAAAAAAGAAAATGCAAAGGGTTTTGGCACCTCCAGAGAAGTCCCATCAGAATGAATGAGGTCGCTGTGATTTTCTTTTTTCACTCTGCTGTTGTCTGTCTCAGTGTGGACCTAGAGTCTTTGAGTTGTCTTTACCTCAGCTACCTTCCCACACCATCTGTGAATTCATCAAATTTAAACCAACAAAACTTTTATTAGAAAAGCAGAAGCGCAACCATATGGTGCCTCATTACGCCGCTAATCAGCTATAAGATTTTTTTCATGCAGTATAAATATACCACATGAGAGTTTTCACCTCAGAAGTGTCAGTCTGAACATGGAGATATTCATAAACATGTATAACGTATGCGTTTGTCCCATTTCCCTACAGAGAAGATCACTTTCGAGAGCGCTCCGAGCCCACAGGAGTTCAGCGAAGGCGACGATGCCGACATCGTCTGCGATGTGGTCAGCTCGCCGCCGCCCACCATCATTTGGAAGCACAAGGGCTCCAAGATTCAATTTGCCAAAGACGGTGAGCCAGTCCAAATAAAACCGTTCCAATGCTTGTGCTTACTTTCGCACCTCCAACCCGCCATCGCACCCCCCCCCCCCCTTCCCCCCGCACCTTCCTGCCAATGCTGTCTGCCAAGTCATGCTTTCCAATCAATTTGCCATACTCTTCATCATCTCCTTCTCCTGCCCATCATCTCTGAACAAAGCCATGAATCATAGATGGTGCATGAAGGAGGATGTTCACTTCCCCAAATAGAGAGAGAGAGAGAGAGAGAGAGAGAGAGAGAGAGAGAGAGAACCCCTCTGGAGGCTGAAATAATCAAAAATAACTCAATAAGAAAAGAGGGAAAAGGAGGGAAGAGAAGAGCTAACAGTCTAATTTACAGTGTGTGACACTGCTAACAAATAAGAACAAGGCTAGCCAGTTTAATAATAAGAATAATATTAACAATAATGAATAATGTTTTGTTGTCTAGCTGTCTGGCCGTTTCACAGTTGGGTGTATATCTGTCCTCATTACAGGATTGCCATGTTTGCCCACTGTTGTAACTGTACTGTTGTAGGTAAATACCACCTCATTTACCACCTCACCACATTTCGGCTTGAAGGGAAGTGGTGGGTAAAAAAAAAAAATAAAAAAAAGGTTTGCTCCTTTACAGAGGACAGACACTGTAATCGGCTTCGATTTGCAGCCGTTATCATGGATTCTGACGGTGAGTCACTGTCACAGCGGGGAAAAAAACAAAACAAAACAAAACAAAAACCTCTGAAGGTTCATAGAAACTTCTCTGCATCATAATCCTTTTTTTTTTCCCCTTTTCCTTCATTGTCGATCCCTATGTTCTAAACAATTGTTCCTTTGCCAGTAAACACGCTTTGGAGCTCCGAAGCGTGACACAGAACTAAGGTATTTAGCTCTGTTGCGGAGAAACTATGAGGGTTTCAAACATCCTGAACATACAAATAAACACAGTAGAAGTGAGTGGTGCTGCAGCAGTGGAATGAGACGTCTCTATGGACATGTTTGATGAATTTTGTTTGCTGTTGTGACTCTGGATAAACCTTGGAAATCCAGTGTAACTGCTGTGAAACGGAGCGGACTACATCTGCTGAAAGGAGCAAATTACAAACTTCTCAGCGTGGGCCACATCTGCCAAAACGATGACGAGGAGGACATAAATGGGTGTCGTAAATATATTCATCTACATGGTTTTTTTTTTTTTGTGAATGATTTCATCTTGCAAACTTCAGGCGGCCGGTAGCTACGCTCTTTGGAAGAGCATTGACGAGAGCGGCCCACAGCAGTTCTGCCTCAAGAGAATTCAACTGAAACTAAAACAGTCCGATGTGTGAGAGCTGAGGTGGAGATGAGGCGAGAGACTGGGTTTTTGTTTTACACTTGGACTGGGCCTATTTTAACCTTACTGTAACCCCTCCCTTGGTGACCGCTGGAGAGCCTGCAGTCACCACAGTGTTGTGCTAAGACAGCCTTTATTCTTGGACGCTGGTCAAGGAATGTGTTTTTCACTGGAAAAACCACTAATTGTAACCGACACTGAAAACTGAAAACTGCTTATGTAATTTTCCTGGGGGCAGCAGCTGACCTGGCCATATACTCTTAACCATATACTGCATGTTTTATTGTCAAACCTCCCATCAGAGCTTTGTCATTGTGATATGTGTCAGTGGAGCATGGATTAAGAGCTGGTTAATAAAATTATCTTTCTGTTTAAATACCACACTAAGCCCCTCAAAGGTTTGACCTCAAATATCTTATATTTCAGTTTTACACTAGATGAATATTTCAGTTTGCAATTCTGTGAATTGTACTTATTTTTCTCTTAATTTAAAGACATAAAAACATAATGTTCATGTACATTTTACCAAAGCAAAGTATTAGCATCTAAATGTGTCATTTTCAGCAGAATGTGCCCTTATAACTGACGCTTTAACTCACTGTATAAGCAGCACTTAAATGTTGTAGACAGTGGAGATGAAGCTAATTTTAACCACTTTATATGTTGGTTAGTTTAATATATACCAGTATGTCATTTTTATAAGCTGACGGAAAAGTAGCAAAAAATTGAAATACCCAAGGAAAGTACAAGTACCTCAAAATGTATTTAGATGCAGTAAATCTGCTTCTTTACTCTCTGTGACTGGCAGACAGCTAGTTGAGGTGCAATTGTGTGCACAATAAAATGCACAAATCTTAAAAGTGATGGGAATGAAATGTTCATTATCCCCAGCCCACATCCTGTCTAGCACTCAGTGCATAATTATATGCATGCAAGTGATTTTATAGCACACAGGCTTTCTTTAGTTTGCACACTTTTAAATAGGCAGTGAAATTGAATTCTCATACACACTCACTAGCATGGAAATTGAACTGGCAGTACTGAACTGTCCTCAACAAAGGCCTCAAATGGCCTGTGAAAGTTACGCTTCAAAGGTACACTCTAATTACCCACAATTTTTAATTCTGTGAGATTTAAAGTATACACTCTGGCAAATCACAAATTTCTGAGAAGTGCCTCAGTTGTCCAATTTGGGGACGTGTAGAGAACAAACAGCAAAGATGACTCAGTTCATTGTCTTAAGCCTCTTAAATAAAATGTGGTCAAGGCCCTGGTTTTTAATAAAGGCCCGAGAACTTTTCCCCAGAAATGTGTGAGAAACAACACCTGGTTTCAGTTAAGACAGCTCACTCTGTCCCTGTGTGTTTATGGCTGCTTTAATTGGAGTTGCAGCAGTTTGTCAGGCTCTATGATCATGTAAAACACAGCAGAAATACGTCTGGTGTGGTCATGCAGGGCTCTCTGTGTTCCTCCAGCCACATGCTTGATTACCATGGATAAGTGGGACTTTTTAACCTGGCTCCAGTGTCCTGTCTGAGCACTTTAAGTGTTTCACTTTTAAACTGCAACTCAAACTGCAAAAGTCAGATTTTCTCTATCAAAGCAAATAATCATACTTAATTTCACACTTCAGTTACACACTTTTTGGCTTCTTAGATCTTAGATTTCTTAGATAATATTGAACTATTGAAAACAATCCTGCCCCTTTATTTGGAGGGTTTTTTAAATAATTTCTTCCTAATGTTAACTTGTTATGGAAAGTACATAATTTACTTGGAAATAAATCACTGAACATAATAACACCGAACCTGATATACTTTATATTCCTAATCCATATAGGCCACACTGACAAAATTAGATCTCCTCTTTTGCTGTGCCAGTGTGATCTTAATCATCTCGAAAACCATATGTGGTAAGTTATTGTGCTCTGTTTGCCTTTTCTGTTTTAGTGCGATTCAAGATCATGGATAATGGCCACCTGCAGATCCGCGGCATCAAGAAGACGGATGAGGGCATGTACAACTGTGAAGCCCGTGTCATGGCCAGGGGAGAAATTGACTTCAGGATGATCAAGGTCGTTGTTAATGGTAAGCACTATATTTCTGTCACTTTTCTCTCCTGGCCTGTCCTGTTGTTTAAAAATGAGCTCAACACATGAGGGTGCAGTGGAAGTGACGCTCAGCTCGTCTGTCCAACTGTTTGGTCTAGACCAAGATAGCCAAACAGCTACATGCCAGATTATTGTGGAATATGGTGTAGATATTCATGGTCAGCAGAGCGTGGGTTCGTAATGATTTTGTTGACTCCTTTAGCGTCACTCTCACGACAGTCAGTCAGATCTGCATACACTTTATCATCTCTTAATGATGATAAAAGCCCGCAACTTAAATGTTTTGGTTCACTCTCCATCGCCAACTCTGCACACCACCTGCTCATCAGTGTCAGTCAGACATAGTGAGTGTGTAGCTGGTGAACGTAGTGAGGCGATTAGCAGCTAAAGAATGAGATATTTGGCTCAGGAGTTGAGAGTAGAGACCAAAGACAGAGCTGAAGGAATGAGAAAATTTGACTTACATTCATCGTGTGAACTCAACCCCAACTGCAAATGAATGATAATGTTGCTCCGCAGATGCTGGATGTGTAAATAAGCAACTGTCTGCTTGTTTCCCTTTCCACCAAGTGGCCGGAGAAACAGTCATCGCAGGTTTAAATCTGCGTATCTAAATAGAGCAGGGGTCTCCAACAGGTGGCTCGCGGGCTACTAGTAGCTCACCCAAAGGAGAATATGGTCTGTACAAACCGTGGACGCAAAGTTCAAACTTTAAGCAACTCAACTTCTCTCAGTTAATCTGCTCCAAACGCAGCTAAATTTTCCACACCATCATTATTTGTCATGACTGAGATTTTTTACATAAAAACTTACACTGATGTGAGTTTCAGATGTTTTTGGTATAAAATGTGAGTTTCGGATATTGATATTTGCGGACTTGGTAAACTATCATATTCAGCTGATTTTGGTTTGCAGATCAGTTTGAGTGTTGTGAATAAATATAACCAGTAATATAAGACATGAGGCGTTTTCAGCCCCTCTTATTGTGTCAAAGTAGCTCTCAGAGGAAAAAAAAAGAAATGAAATTCAGTCTCTTCAAAATAACTTTTTAGACACTTGTTATGTTTACTTAATATTTATCTAGTATCATCCTCTTTTTTTTTCTATCTCTGTTTCAGTGCTTCCCACCATCCGTGCCAGGCAGTCAGAGGTCAACGCCACCGCAGACATTGGTAGCTCTGCTTTGTTGGCTTGTGATGCGGACGGCTTCCCTGAACCCACTGTCACCTGGGCACAGTACGTCATCCGCTGCTGTTCTTAGCCTGTTTTGATAAGTAGGATCATAAGCAGGTTTTTCTCTCAGATCTACCCTGGATCAGAAGCAGGAGTAGATCTGAGCTGTCACAAAAATTAAGCCTTTCGTTTTATTCTCAACATCTTATTCTTTTTTTTTTCTCAACCTCAAAGGGGGAACATCACTAAGTAAATCAAAGATGTGAAGAAGAATGAATTACAAAAAAAAAAAAAAGATATATACCTGGTGCTGAGTTAACCTTCCCATGTCGCCGCACCCAGAACTTCAAAGACAAAGTAGCCGCAACTACTGAGAGCTTTCGTCAGTGCAGTACAACTGATCTTAACAGGACAACATTTTTTTTCCCCTGAGTTAATCAGCCAGGCAGGTAAAGGCAGCTGGATAATGATGGTGATGATGCAAGACAAAATGATTAATGCACCAAAAGAAACAAACACTGGAGCTCAACACCACATGTACTAGTACTGTACTTGGTCCCATATGTACCAGTACTGTTACAATTGTAAGATTATAGCTGACCTTTGCAGGAGTGATGTGATATCACTGCGTCCTGTCAGAAAAACTGGTCTCCCTGAAGCTTCTTTCTCAAGAAGTTAGAATAGACAAGGAACTCACAGTTCACATTTACAGTTCAGTTCAGGAATTTATAAACAATCCTGCTTGCTTTTTTTAAAAAAAAATCTTTTGCAGGAAAGGGTTTATTTACCATCAGTGACACTTCTGTAAAGGTGAGGCCAAGCCCCTTCAGTAACAGGATGTAGCGTACAGCCTGTGTTTGTATATATGGCTGAACCAGAGGGCTTTGTTGTGACCAGGTGCACAGTTTTCGGGGGCGTTGCTGGGTTGTTGCTGCCCTCTGTCTCCAGCTGCAGGACACGACGACAGTGTGCTGACACACTTAGGACATGACAGCGAATGCAGTGAGCACACACTGATGTTCGAAGATGTGCAGTCATGGAAGCGGTCCATTATGTAACTGTTGGACTCCACACATGTGAGCGCCACCATACTGAATACACAATGAGAAACATATTCTCTCAAGTCCATGTGATTTTGCCCTGCAGTGCAGACGCTGACTGATGGAATGAAGTGTTCACACAAAGAATAGATATACTCATTTCTTTTCTCCTTCTTTTTTTAATTATATATATTGATTTTATCTAGTGAAGGGGTTGTTCTCAGTTCAGTCTCTGTGTGCCCCAGTATTTCAAGGCAACACCTCAGTATAAACACACACACACACACACACTCACACACACTCACACATACAAAAAAAACCATTGTAAGTCTGAGTCTCCTGCAAATCAACTGGAAGGAACAAAGTTTTGAATTGACTTGTGGCTTTATATTAAATCTGAGTCATGTTGTTTGGAAGAAAAATGCTATTCTGTGCTGGAAGACTTCTTATAAAAACCTACCACTAACCACAGTGGCTGGCTTCATCACTTGCTTCCCTGAACTAAGAATATACAGTTTTCTTTTCTTTTTTTTTTTTAATATACACAAATCAAGTTGTGCTCCAAACAGAGGGGCACATCAACACCAGCTAGAAGTGCAAATTGTTTCAGGTTTAGCTGTTATCCGCCAGGGCTGGCCGCTTTCATGCCTGTTTATAAATTGAGACTTCTCATCAAGTCTGAGGTGAAACGATGTAAACTCTCCTGCTCGCAGCCCGACTGGCCAAACTGTTTGTTGAAAGTGATTCCTGCCCCCTGTTAAAGAATCGCATATGCACAACATACATCTCAGGGAGCTGGTGTTGTAAAAAAAAAAAAAAGTGTTTTGTACAGAGGGCATGACTATGAATTTGTGTTGCCTTGCCTACAAATTGTAGTGTGAGAGAAACGATGACATTTACACTTGCATGACTATAACAAGGGCAAAAAGGGGCTTTGATGAGCATTATTAGGAAGGTTTCCACTCTGCACATGCTGTTTAAATTGCATACCATTTTTGTCTTGTTAGTGTGGTTAATGAGCTGTAGTGGTTGCACCAGCGTCTTGTAAATTCAAACTTGGCCTGGCTATGAAAAGATTTAGTTGTCCTTTACGTAGAGCTTAGTTGTTACTGAATATTTATACATTAAAAACTGTGAGCTGGAAGTGCGAGATGGTTGAATATAGTTCAACAAGTGGAATAAAAATCCGCTCTTCCATTACAAAAGGGAAAAAAACGATATATATTAAGGAAAAAAATGGCAATGGAGATGAAAAATAAGCAAAATAACATATTTGAGTTTATTTGGTTACTTTGGGTTAAAAGCATTTGGATGTGTAGCTGCAGCAGCGTCTCTGTTTACAGAGCTGAGTGAATTCTAGTTGGATAATGGTGTTTCTTTGGATATTTACACATTACTGAGGGCGTTGCTGAACTCCAAAATAATCCACTCCTAATCATTCCATGGTGTTTTAGAGTGGTGCTTCTTCCTCTAGCAAATGGTGTTTGGCAGAGTACAAACACTCAGAGTGAATTAGCTGAAGGTGATGTAGTCTGGCGCAAAAACAAGAGTCAGCAAAGGTTAAAAATGAGAAGCCTGCTGCATTTTCTACATTGCTGAAAAAAAAAAGGGGATGGGGATAGGTGTCTAGATAAAAGATTTGTTAGAATCTAAAGTAAAAAAAATGTTGATATTTTACCTTCCTGGAACTAACTTCAAAACAGAACCAGAAGGAGTGAGGACCAAACTCTCCGCACCGAAAGTAGGAGATGCCATTAGCTGATAGAGCATCCGTCACTTTATCCAGTGTGAATTGGTGATGCACCAATAACCAACATTTATTTCTCTCCATACAGCTGTTTGTTCAGTGTACTTTAATCTTGATGATACATCACTCACCACTGTCACGCTGCAGCACCACTGGAGTGCAGAGGAATCATTAAATAAGGTTTTTTTTTTTTTTTTGTAGAGATGTGATTGAATAAGACTATTGAACGCCCCGCTCACAGCTGTCTTCCATGCAACAAAACTTGCGTGCGATGGTGGATGTTGAGGCGGAGGGAGAGGCAGTTCCTGTCCAGAAGATAGTTAAGACAGACAGTGAGGTTGTTGAGAGGACAGATGGGTGAGGCAGTGGAAAAGCAGAAGGGTAAAGCTCTATTTGTTCTGGTTTCCTAGGGCTGCTGACAAGGCTGTCATTCACTGTCTGCCTGCAAAATGCTTCGGGAAGGCTGCTACTCAGGCATACAGTTAATTCTCCACAAACAGGATTCTAACCTCCGGCAAAGTTCTGGTTCTCGAGAGTAAAAGGGTGTTAAAGAGTGGGGAAAAAAAACAAAACATGCATCATCATCAAACTGGTGCATGGCCTCCTTAAAAATACAGATGTAAGGGCTAAAGGAGAGCTGAGGCAAACAAAAGCTGTGGAAATATTGGAGGTGTTCTCAGAGGCGTACAGTACAGGACAGCTTTGTGGTCTCCCGGCCCTTTCTTTTTTTTTTTGTGTGCCCACTGCTCTCGGCCTCAGGTGAAACTCCGAGCAGATCGTTGTCAGTGAGTAAAGAAATGTATCTGCAGGCCCCTCAAGAAGGCGAACGCTTGTGATGTGAACTCCACCATGTCTTTTTCTTCTTTTTCTCCCTCTGCTACAGTAACAACATTGTCCTTGAAACGGGCGATAAGTACAGCCTGAACGAGGATGGTTCAGAATTAGTAATAAAAGATGTCAAGAAAGTGGATGAAGGAGATTACACTTGCATCGCCAAGAACAAGGCGGGAGAGAAAGCCGAGGAAGTCAGCCTGAACGTGTTCGGTAAGAGAATAACTGCATTCGCTTGCGATGGCGTGAAGAATGCTGTGGCTCTTTTTCTTCCTCTCTGGCCTTTTCTTTTGTAGTTATTGACATTTGCTGTACACTCCTCTACAGCTATTCCAGTGTCTGTGTGCAGGGTTACACAGCGTGAAGCATACAGTTTAAAGAAAAGCATGTCCTATTGAAAACTAATTAAGCCAACCCTTAGGACATTCAAAGATATCACACTAGAGTTTCTCTTCACGAGGAAATTTGCACCAGCCTTACATAATAATGTGCTCGCAGCTCTATTATATATCAATGGGGTATGAAACCACAACTCTAATGAAGCCTGTATGTATATTTTACTATGGTAACAGCTATTTAAACACGGACTAATCAGTGTTTTTGGGTCAAATGACTGTGTACAACGTGAAAGGTGTCACTCACGGTGATGAGAGAATGATCAGCTGACTCTGCAGCAGCTCCGCGGAGCTCTTTTAGCCTCTTTTAGTTGATTATTTTGATTTTACAGCCCACAAACTCCACACTACCACCTGACAGACAACAGACAGACAAAGTTAGCAACTATGTACTAATGTTGCACCAGGTCTGGAGGTGTAATCACGGTAATTGTTATTAAAGTTTGTGTGGTCATCTTGCTCCGTTGCCACCAAGTAGCAAGAAACAAAACAAAGGCTGTTTGAGAACGGCAGTGACACTGATAGCAAGTAGCATGCTAGCAGTGAGCTTCAACAAGGAAAAGCTTTTGTGTGTGTGCTGATAGGTATACAGGTGTGTAGGGAGTCATGTGTCAGTAATGCTTTGGGGGTCTTTTTCCTAGTGCAACCCAAGATTACCTACCTGAATAACCAGACTGCCTCCGAGTTTGACGATCAAGTCACCCTGACCTGTGAGGCCTCGGGCGACCCCACACCCACCATCTCCTGGAGCTTTGACGACAAGGTGTTCACTGAAGGAGAGCAGGTACTGACCGTTTGTTTTTGTTTCTTTTTTTTTTTTTCCCTAATTTGGACAAAGGCACTTTCCACTTAGTCAAACATACACAAGGGTATTTGCCAAACAGATGAATCTTCATGTGCTCATGTAAAAGCCATTATGCCATAAAGAAACACTACTCGATGCTCTGCTGAGTCTTGGCTAATACTGAATTCCACTCTCGACATCATTAAATAACAACAGAAGTCCTTCAAGCAGACAAGTATCTTTGGGAGTGCAGGCACTAAAGAGAGGAAGGTCAAAGCGCCCTTTAGTACTAGCTCACTTAGGAAAAGAAAAACTTATAATTATATCGTTTGTACAAGAAATTTCAAATATTATATGTTGTTCAGATTATATTTCTATTAACTTTTCAATGGTTAATGTCTTCACTTTATTAGCAGCAAAATGCAAAGCATTCATCTATATTTATTTACACACACATTATTCCCACATAAGTAATATCTAACATTTTTAATTTAATCCTAAAGGCTTCAGTTTGCCAAAAGCTTGAATAAACTCCTGTATCCTCCAAGATTATGTGAGCCAGCTGTCCATAATGACCTGCGCTATTTTTGGCAATACAGAGCCGACTTTGCAGACCCCGGTAAACAACTGTACGTGGGTGGACTCCTCGAGGAGTTGCCGTTATTGACAAACCTCTGCTAAATTGTCATTTATTTCAGAGAACCGCAGTATGACTCTAATCCATCACCGAGCTAACACATCCACTGATATTGACATTAATATGTTTGAACTATTTAATCACTGCATTTTCTCATTCAGTCTGGAAATGATTTCAGTTAACTTTGTTCCCGGCCCTTCTCATCTCAGATCATTAACAGCCAATCACTTCAAACTGCTCACTGCGCTTCTCACACCAAACCTCTTACCAAATTGCATTGCCACCTGAATGTGTTCTTTGTACAGTCAAGCTTGGATTCTACCATCTCTTTAAACTTTTGATAGCCTTCTTCACTACTGTTGGAATTGCATTAATGATTTTGTACTTTTCCATCACCAATGCTAGAGGCGAGAGGGTGCAGATTGGCATAAAACCAATTTCCAGGCAGTGCCATGCCGTGATACTCCTCCCCAGCGTTGTTAAGAGTAGATGTAACACTCTACTTTGCTCCCTATTAATCATTAGTATTTAAAAGGGAAAATTATATTGAAATGACTATGAAAAGGGCCCAAAATTCACAGAAAATTGGTTGAAAATTAGTTGTGGAAATGATTTCAGCAAAACTAGTTTAATTATTGCTGTGTCACAAGCCAGAAGGCCTGAGTCACCCTCTATCTCAAAATCAGATTGTTTTGAGTTCAGTTATGCTACTCGGGCAGAATGCTGTGATAATCCACTCTGGAAAATGAGTGGGCACTTTTTCTCTCAGTGAACACGATAAAAGAGTGAGAAGAGTGAAGTCATTGCGCATAAAGCCGAGCAAGGGGTTATACATCTTTGTCATGCGTAAGTGTATATGCTCATTTTATTCTTCATGTCCTTCAGGAGCGCAGGAGATAACACAGGATTAAAGCGTTGGCTATAGAACATGGTAAAAGGCTCCTCGAGATGTGCGAGCCATGAATACCATCCTGTGCATTTTCTCCATTACAGTGGTCCCAGCATGTTGGCAGTTGCCAGCCTGACGAGAGGATCTCATCCCGAGTCTATTGTTGTGCTCTTATCAGCTCATTAAAGTGGTATAATTTTGAGAAATCCATCTTAACGGTCTATTCTGACAACATGCATCATGTGAGCAGTAGATGGATTAGTCACTTCAGAGAGGTAATTTTCAGCTGTGAATGCAGTAAACAGTATTAAGATAATTACCTTGCTGCCTCTAGCAGGTTTGTGGTTTCAGGAAGAACATTTCATACGTTTCTTTGCGCTTCAGCTGGCATTAGAAGTAGTAAAACATCTTGATATTATTTCTGATCATAATAGAAGTTAGGTACTGTGAGTTCCCCCCTTGCCTGAGTCCTGGACTGGTCCTGGACCTTGGAGGATTTGCTTCTGGGCCACAAGGACATGATATTCTTTGGCAATTAAAGCTAAAAAATAATAACATAACTTTATACACTATTATAGGCTATTTTGGCTGTAATGACCTTCAATGTGGCTGAGTCAGTGCTGCATTTTTAATCACTCCCTGAAATGCCCAATATACTAATTTTTTAATCAAGTAAGCCGTTGTACGTGAGGTAAACCAGTCTGTTATCACTTCTCAGCATTGAACAGCACATGAAATATCTGCAAGGCCTCTAGCTAACGTACTAAGTACTACGAAGTACAGAGAAAACAAAGTTTTAACTCCTAGTTTCAGTTTTATGCTCTGCCTCTCTCTGGCTATTGTTTTCTTGTGCGCTGTCTCATTACAAAGTTGTCAGTATAAAAAGCCGTTATCAAACACTGTTGTTATGCAGTGTTATAAATGATGCATGCATGTAACAATAGGTGTACTATTCTTGGAGACGCATACAGTAAATGCAGTGAAAGCACCTGTCCTGCCGGGTCCCACAGGACACGAAGGGACTCAGTTACACAATATTTAGGCCATACTGCCCTACTTTGCTTCACAGCTCTGTCCAGCCGTATTCAGCTCGTGCAGTGTAACGAACCACGTTGTAAAGATGTCATGTAAGACCATTTTAACATTGAATATATCACAGTGAACTCTTGCTAGTTGGATTGGAAATCTGAATTCTCAGAATTCATAATAATAGAGATTAATAAGGCTGGCATTATTATGTGTATTTCTTATTGTCAGTAAATCCTATGAAAAGACCAAAACCAACATGTTAAGTCTTTGTTTAAAGAGCTCGGCCCTGTCGTTTTGCTGATTTATCCTTTAGTCAAGGCCAGTAAGTAACAAGATGAATCATCCATCCATATAACAAAAGCTGCACTGGCAGTCTGATAGTTACAGCCTTTCCAATGTGAAATTATAACCCATAATGCATTTGTAGTGAAGATATCACATGTTCCTCTACTTGATTAAGAGACGATTTCACTGAAATTTGTGTCATCACTTGATAGGTTGCCAGGGAAACTGGGAAGATGAGGTGAAAGTGAGAGGGACATGAGATTCAAACTCTATGCTGCATCTGTATCAATATTTCAATATTTCAAATAGTGCAAAGAGTAGCAGTGGTTGTTGTTGTTATTATTATTTATTAACTAGAACAGTGGTTTCCAACCTATGGGCCAGGGCCCACTTGTTGGTATTGCAAGTGGGCAATCATAGACAAAGGATTCCTCATATTAAAGCCTATCACTGTGATACACCAATGGACTTTGATGTTGTCGCCACTGGACACAATTGTTCAGTCGCTTCAGTTCAGTCCTGAATTTTAAATTGTTGTCGATATAGAACATATTATTTGGCCTCCGTATTGTTACAGGGTCAGATATGGGCCGCCAACATTTTTGGCAGTATAGGCCATAGCATGGCAAGTCCTCAAACTACTCAGATTGTTTACAATAAACAGTCAATTATGTAAGTATGTGAAACAGAAAAAACATTTCAAGCTGAATTAATAGTTGGATTATTTTAGTGACTGTGCAACAAAAAAAAAACTTGGACTGTACACAAAACCTCTGAGCACGGATGGATGAAATCAGGAATTTCCAGCCTGCGGGGGAATTACTTTTACCTGACTGTGCAGCACGGCCTAAAGCAGCCTTGTGAAGCCGGGTGTTGTGCCAAAAGTCGAAACGCATGCAAGAAGTGTTTCTCCCGGTGGAATGTCTCCACCGCCAGTTTCATGCCAGGAAAAAGGAAACATAATGGCGTTGCCGTGGTAAACATTTCACAGAGTTATAGAGACTGGCAGTAGCGGCTCATGGTATATGTCTGCTACACCAGATTCATACTCAGGTTAAACATACTCTTTTCACTTGAGGGCCAAACAGGACACACCTTTTTATTTTTCAACAATTGAGGAGGCTCAACGAATAATAAGATCATCCATCTGATACAAACTGAGTGTTTGACTCTTCCACGGTTCTGCCGGAGGATTCTCAGAGGAGAATTATACATTTGAATCAGTTAAGGTGTCCCTCGTTTCTCCTATTAACTGTGCCATTTATCACTGTCAGTTAGTGGAAGCATCCACATGGCACGGTGTATTCATGGCTGCATTGCAAATTACAGAATCCGAATATTGCCCGGTGCAACTCACAGTTGTCACCAAGTATCTTCTTCTGTTCGCGGGGCTGTCATCATCCCTCTCCTCCCTGTCCGCCGCTGTCAGGTCAATTTTGATTTAATGCTTCTGTAATCAGAAAATACCGCCGATCATTTGGCAATGGCTGTTACTAATTTTCATCGGATCGTCATTCATCATTGGTCCATTCCGTGTGTTTGCCATGCTCCGTCCTCTGTTCACGCTATGCTCTTACATCTTACCAGCTACAGACTACAAGAGCAAAGAGCGCTGACATAATCATAATGATGTGCAATGACAGAGCGGCCATTTTACTGGCGGCTGCTGCCTCTTTTGAAAGTGCACGTCTTGTAAAAAAGAAAAGTGGATGGTATCAATGTATCATCTCCTCAGAGCGGATTTCAGTGTTTCCACACTTTTTTTTTTACACTATGAGATTAGAATTATCTGAATGTACTTGTTATTAACAAAAGAAGAAGTGGTGCGTGCCACTGTTCTGTACATAAATGAACGAGTTAATCAAAACATAGAATGCCAAGATGAGAAGGGCACTGATTAGAAAAACAGTCCCCAGATAGCAGTAATGCCTCACTCGTAATTAGTTTCCGTGCCCTTTTTTTTTTTCCTTAGTGTGCCTCCAAATTCTCTCTTATTACAGTACATTAATTAATAAGTGAGTGAGAGGCCTTCGTGCTGCTTCAGGAGAAAATGCTCCAGTTTGGCATTTTGTGCAGCTCTGTAAATTCCCTGACCGCGGTTGAACTGCCAAGTCAGAAATCCTGACCTCGGTTTAACAGTCTGTTTCACCTTATTATAAA